CTGCGGTAGCTATACAGTAAGTCTTAAAATGAAATAGAGTGATCCTACCTACTTTGTTTTCCTTTTTCAGAATTACCCTAAGTATTCTAGTTCCTCCGATCTGCCATATAAATCCTAGAATCATCTTGTATATATGTGTGAAAAGTCTGGCCACAGTTTTGCATGAAAGCAGTCTCTCCTCTTGGGAGGAAATGGCTTTACCAGGTTGGGTTCCAGTCTGAGAACGCAGTGCATCTCCCATTTCCTTAGATGGATTTCTTTCATCTGCTTTCTTTTTGGTTTTCAGCATGCAGATCCTGAATATGTTTTATTGGATTTCCAACTAAGTTTTGTTTTGTTTTGTTTTGTTTTGTTTGAGCAATTGTAGGTGGCAATGTATTTTATTTGGTTTTCTGTACATTTACCGCTAAGTCCTAGAAATATGACCAACTTTTGCATGCTGATCCTCTGTGCTGTGATCTTGCTGGATTTGTGCGTTCTCGGAGTTATTTTGTAGGTTCCTTGGGATTTTGTGTATTGACCGCCATACCATCTATAAATACAGGCTGTTGTATTTCTTCTCTTCCAATCTGAATGTTTTTGGTTCCCTCTTGCTGCCTGGTCATGCAGGTTTAGGACTCTACTAGCAGTGGACTAGCAGTAGTAAGAGGGTCTTCCTGTCTTGCTCCTGGACTGGCGGAGCAGGTCGGGGTGTGGATGTTATTTCTCAAGTTGAGGAAGCTTCCTGCAATTAGCAGGTTTCTGAGGAGGTATGTCCTGAATGGGATTTGAATTTTGTCCAGGGCTTTTTCTGCCTCAGTTGATAGGATGGTGTGTTCTTCCTTCTTTAGCCGGTTGATAAGGTGGATTATACAGATTGATTCTTGAGGACTGAATTAGCCCTGCGTCCCTGGGTAAACAGTTGCGGTCTGCGGTTCTTTCTATGTGTTGCTGATTAGGATCGGGATGTCGGTCTGTGGTTTTTCTGTTTCGTGCTGTCAGGCCGGTACTGGCTTCATGGCTGCACTGGGAAGTGGCCCCTCCTGGCCTGTGTCAGGCCAGAGCTTGCATGGAGCTGCCGTGCGTCCTCCTATCAGCAGGTGACGGAACTCCAGGGAGACCACTTGGGCCTGGGCGGGAGGCTCTCTAGGAGACATCCTACAGCTGGAGTGATGGGGGCCCTGGCCTGCCGGGGAGGGGAGGGGCCGACGTGGCCCGGAGACCAGAGCTGGGAAGGCCTGCAGCTGTGCTTGGCTTGGCTTCCTCTTGCTGGTGGCTGACAGCAGACCCTGCTTGCCTGCGACTTTACCACTTAGCTCCCTTGTGCCATGCACTGCTTCTGTCCATCAGATACCATGCCCTGCAGGGCCTCTGCCTGGAGGCTCAGTGGGAGGAAAGTGCTGTGTCCCGGAGCTTTATAGGGTGTGCCTGTCTGTATCCAGGTGGGGATTCCAAACCCCCTGCAGCATATCCTGTGGATTTCACCAATGATTGGTCCTCTGGGAGGCCGCATGCCCAGAAAATTGGGCATGCGGATGGACCAAACATTCTAGTTAGTAATGTCTATATCCAACATAGTTATTCTTTCTTTCGTGACTCAGAATGATCAACATGATCTTGGAGGCCTGGCACCCTGGTTTTGAAGGCTAGTTTGTATTGCCTCTGGGGGAAGGTCTGGTGAGTATTTCATGGTTCTAGAACCCCCAGCCTCATGGGGTAGCTCTACATTCCTCCCATGGCCCCAACCACCCAGCTTCTCGTCTGCCTCATGCAGGCCTCCATGCCCCCTCCCCAGGACTTGTGTACTTACTGTACCCCTTTCTCCCACATACCACAGGCCGTGCTCTTACCTTGGGTCTCAGGTGCTGCGTTCCCACCACTGTTTCTTGACTTTCATCCTCCCCCAGATGTTTCAATCACAACACGTTAAAATCAACTTACTCTCCAACTATGCTCCCTAATTGTCCCCTGAGTATTTTAGTCTTCTCATGGAATCTCACTGTGGGCAGGTGTCTCTGTCACTTCAGGCCACAGTAGCAGAATGCCACAGAATGCTGGCGTGGTTTACAAACAGTGATTTCCCACAGTTCTGGAGGCTGGACGTTCAAGATCAAGGTGCTGGTATGGCCGGGTTCTGGGGAAGGCCTCCCCCGGTTCATGAAGGGCCATCTTCAGGATGTGTCCTCACATGGTGGAAGGGGCGAGGGAGCTCTCTGGGTCTCTGCCCTCATGACCCGTGCATTTCCCCCAGGGCCTCACCTCCAGATAACATCACACCAGGGATTAGGTTCGAGCATATGAGTTTGGGGGAAACACACATTCGGACTGTGGATGCAGGCGTTTTTGTCTGTTTTTTACCCCACAGTATAATCACCACTCAGAGGAGTATTTAGTGTGAAAACATTGCTAAACAAATACGTGTGAAATGAGTACTAGTCTTCGATCCCGGCTCTTCCTGACCAGGAGCTGCTGAGCTAAGTTGCCTGGAGAGGGTGTGGTTCTGGGGTCCCTGGGACAGACGCAGGTATTGCTGCCAGGCCCACACGGCAGGCAGGGCTCTTGGTCATTCTACCAGCTGGACCTTGTCCACAAAGGCTCTCAGGCTGTACTAGGTACCATTTCTCTTGGGGCCCCACCCTGAACCCCACAGGTTCAGTGAGTAGTCTTGTGCCTGCTGCTCTCTGTTGAGGCCCAGGCTCAGACAGCTGCTGAGAAGCATGGCCTGGCAGTGCCTGCTGTGGGGGAGAGCCCCACCTGCCCAGTGCCTGGGCCTCTGCATGTGCCCCAGGGGTGGTAGAGCTCAAACTGCAGGGACTGGAAGGGACAGTGGGTCTGGAGTAGCCAGGTCTAGCACATTTGGGGCCCTCACTGAGTCCCAGGCCCTTCCTCTGTGAAGTGTGGGTACATGGTGGAGGGCATGAGAGTGCACTCAGAGCCATGTGTCCCATCCCTGCGTGTGGTGTGGCAGGCCAGCTCCCTCCCCTTCCCGCTCCCTCTCCCAGGGCTGCTGCTGAGTCACTGAACCAGACAGGGGGTGTGAAGAAAGCAATCAATCAGAGGGCTCTTAAAGCTGAGTAGTGACACTGGAATGCACTAGAAAATCAGCACGTAGATCTTCTCGGACTCAGAAGTCCCAGAATGAAGTCCTTTCCAGAAACTGGCAGTCTTGGGAAACTTTTTAAAAAACAGTTCTGAGGGCGCCTGGGTGGCTCAGCTGGTTGGGCAACTGTCTTCAGCTCAGGTCATGATCCTGGATTTCCGGGATCGAGTCCCGCATCGGGCTCCCAGCTCCTTGGGGAGTCTGCTTCTCCCTCTGACCTTCTCCTCTCTCGTGCTCTCTCTCACTCATTCTCTCTCAATAAAAATAAAAATCTTTAAAAAAAAAAAAAAAGTTCTGAATCTCAGTTTCCTTATCTGTAAAGTGGGGATGCTGATGCCTGCATTCCAGGGATTAAGCAAGACAGCACAGGTGAGAACACAGGGCACAGAGGCTGTCCCCACCCTGCCCCCTGCCTTTCCCTTCATCCATCTGGCTCTGGCACAGGCCTCTGCAGTCCCTGTGTGCCTGCCCCTATCATCACCGTTGAGCAAGCCTCTGTGTGGATCAGCCCGTGGGTAGGGGTGAAATGACCCAGAGGAAAAGCACAGAAAGAGTCCATCCCAAGGGCGCTTGGGTCATTAGGCATCTGCCTTCGGCTCAGGTCATGATCCCAGCATCCTGGGATCGAGCCCTGCATCCGGCTCCCTGCTTGGCGGAAGGCCTGCTTCTCCCTCTCCCGCTCCCCCTGCTTGTGTTCCCTCTCTCGCTGTATATTGTATCAAATAAATAAATAAAATCTTTAAAAAAAAAAAAAAGTGAGTCTGTTCTGGCTCCTGCACCTTGAAGATCCTTATCAGACTGGGAAGATGGGACACCCACACCCGCCAGCCAGCACACAGTGGGCAAATGAAGAAATGGCTTCTTGAGCTGTCCCAGCAGCCAGAGTACAGTGTCCTGGGATGCCTGGCTTCTGATCTCTGCCAGAGAGGTGGTTGAGATGCCCTCCGCACCTGTCCCCAACCAACCCTGCCACTGGAGCCTCCAGTAGGCCCCTGGATGGATTTGGAAGTCTCCTGGCTGCCTGAGTGTGTTTTTTTTTTTCTTGCGTTCTAAGATTCACCTGCTGTCTTACAGGAGGGAACACATCCTCCAGAAGAGATTGAGGTGTTCACATGGTAAGGGAAAATCTTTGTGACTGATTTATTCGGTGGTTCTCTGCTGAACACTTACGTTTGGCTGGGCAGTGTCTTAGAGCCTACCCTGCAGAGCCCCCAGTTGGGGGGGACTAGATATTAATCAGTAGATTCCAGTGGGTATCCACTTAGAGAAGGGCTGCGGGGCTGTGATTGGGAGGGTGCTCAGAAGGTGAAGCAGTTTTCTCAGAAACTGAGGCAGACTGGTCGTGAGGCTCCAAGCAAAGGGAAGAGCTTGTGCAAAGGCCCTGGGGAGGAGACAGCAGGACAGGTTCAATGAACCCAAGGGTGCTCAAGTGGTGGAGATGTGGGAGTGGGGCCAGGGCGCGGGACCAAAGCCTGCCAGTCAGATGGGGGTCCATGTTGTGGGCAGACAAATGGGGAGCGACTGGGGGCACTGCAGCACTGGTCTTCCTGCCTCTCCTGTCGGGAGCAGCCCGGAAGCAGGGCCTGGAAATAGGCAGACCTCTGCGCGTGGGCTCTTGGTGGCCCAGCTGTGGACCGAGAAGCTGTCCTGAATCGCTGTTCCTCTTCTGAACAACCTTTTTGAATAACGAACCTGGCGCCGCACCTCTCCTGCCTCCTTTGCAGAGCCGGGCTGGGGTAACGCGGAGGGGGTCCGCGCCCACCTGCGGCGACAGTCTCCGCCCTCTGCTTGTAGACACGCCCACACTCGGCGCCTCGCCCGCCGGGTCCAGCCCACCGCCCGGAGCCACGCCCGCACGCTGGGACCTCACTAGCCGAGCGCCCGCGTGCTTGCGTCACCACCAGGCCGGCTGGATCCGGTTCCAGCCGAGCCAGGCCGGCCTGACATGCGCAGTGCGCGGGCTCTGCGGCCGGGCGGGCCCTGAGCGCACTGACTGCCCGGTAAGCGGAGGTCAGTACGCCGAACCCGGGAGCGGGGCCCAGTCGCGGGAGGTGGGTGGGGGCGGAATTCCGCCCTGCCCGAGCGCGCGGAGGGTGGGGCGCGTCGGGGTGGGGGGTGCTGCGGGGTGTCTGGCCTGGGTAAGACGGGTTCCCGTAAGACCGCTCGCTGTGAGGGCGGGGTGCCCTTCTCTCATGGGGTCGGGCGCGGGTGGGCCCACGCCGCTGCCGGGGTCACATCGTCCTGGGAGCCTCGCCCAGCTACCCGGGTCCACCTTCCCCCGCCTCCTGGGGCCCTAGAGCGCCCTGCTCACCATCTCGACGGTCTGCGCGGTGAGGAGGGGGCCCCAAGCTGTGTCCTGCAGCGGGAGGTAGGGGTAGTCGTGGGGAGCTCCGAGCTGGGTCTTACACCGGGGGGAGGTGGGGGGCTCCGAACTTGGTCCTGTACTGGGTGGATAGCGGGGGGACTGGGCGGGATTCGACCAGTGTCCTGCATCAGAGGGGAGGGACTCCGAGCTGTGTCCTGCTCCGGGGATGGGAGGGGGAAATGGGGTGCATGGGGGAGACTCTGAGCTGCGTCCTGCCCTGGGCTGGGAGGCGTGTGGGAGGCTCTGAGCAGCTCTTAGCAGCTTCTGCCTGGGGAAGGCCTCTGAGACTGACCCTTGCTTGCTACTTCAGAGAGCTGGGTTTTAGTCTCAGACCCAGGCCATGTGGCCCCACCGGAGTCCCCTGGCTCTCCAGCTCTTCTCTGTAAAAGCGGGGAGGGGTCTAAACCGTGTCCCTGTTCTGCACCCTGGGACTCAACCTGTCCTTACCCTTGCCTCTCCTGGGATGGGTGTTGTCCTCTGGCTGGGACTTGTCCTCAAAGCTTTAGTAGCCCAGGGCTGCCTTTCCTTTGCAAGGCCCACCCACACATGGCACATCCTTGTTTGGGGGAGTAAAACTTTACAAGGGTATTACTGTTCTGCTTGTGAAATTATGTGGCTGTAACTCACAATTTGGGCATGTGATTTTTCACTGTACATTCAATAGGTCTTGCAAAGTGAGAAGAATCTAACCCTTGGTTTCCAAATGTGATGAAATTATATTTAACAGTTGATGGAATTGACTTAATGAGATGCTGTAGACATTCAGTGAAGCCTTTGTTTGGATTTTGCTGTTTTATCATGGAGCCAGTAACACGTTTTGGTTTTTTCCCCATAGCTCAGACCTTTTGGGGGTCCTGACCAGCCCACAGGGCCCAGAAGGCAGCGGGGCCCCTGAGATGAGGATTTGGATCAAGGTGTCCTGTTCAGTTTGTACCCAGAGGCTCAGCTCTCTCCTCTTCCTCAGGGCCCAAAAGCCACCGAGGGAGAAAACAGTCCAAAGACGGTTCATTTGGAGCAGCATGAAAACATGTTGGAGAGTCTTGTGCAGAACTGTTGGCTATTTTCGGGGAGAGAAGCCATGTCAGTGCTTCTTACCGCATCGCCTCCACGAGAGCTGGCGCTCTGTGCCTGCTCCCAGAGCCCTGGGCCTGCCTTGACTGAGGTGGGGTTAGGTGTTCACAGTTTTGTAGTATGCTTTCAAGCATGAAGAACCTGATTTTCGTTAACGTGTGGCAAGGTCAGCACTGCCAGATTAAGAATGAGTGTCAGTAGATTTTTTGGAAGTCGTTGAGAAGTGTATTTTTTGTATATTACATGTTATTTCTAGATTCATGTACGAGTCATACTTAATACTCTGCCTGGCTCTACCCTGTCTCGTGTTTCCAGATTAAACTCAATGTGCAGCCTTCAGTTCCTGGCCAGTTCCACGTTCCCGGAAATGAAAGGAAGGCAGCAGATTCAGAGTTTACTAGGAAGGAGGTGGGCGTGGCTGGGGGGCCTGCTGTGAGCACGGGGCAGGGCCTAGCATGTGACCTTTGCCTTCCGAGCCAGCCCTCAGGCCTGGAAGCTGTAACTGACACTCTGCCTGACGTTGTTGACCATGCCTGGTGTAGCTGGGCTCCACGCCTGTGCTGAGTTCAGATCGTGAGTTCCCTAAAATCAGATGAAGGCCCAGTCGGCCAGTCCTACTTGTAGATGACAGAGCTCATACCAAGAGGAATCATCAACCCAAGTCAGCGTGGGCTGGCAGCAGGGGTGACGGGTGGCATGGCCCTCAGGGCCTGGAGGTCCGGGAAGACCCAGTGAGCTGCTTGCCTCCAATGAGAGGTTAGCCTTTCCCTTTAGAGGGGTGGCATCTGCACGTTCTCTGGGTGGCCATGAAGGGCTGGGGGTCTGCCTGACCCGGTCCTATGCCTGCCTGCCTGCTGGGAGGCTTGCCAAGGAGACTCCCTCACAGCCTCTTTGGGGACTCGGCTTGCTCTCAGAAGGCCCTAAGACTGTGCTGGAGCAGGCAAATGCTGTCTGCCGTAAATGCCCGGTAAGAAATGCTGACCCCTCGACTGGGTGGGGCGGGCCCACTTACCAGCTTCCTTCTCCGTGGAGTCTACGTTCTTCTGATGAAGAGCATGGAGCCTTCCCTGTCCTCGTGCCCTCCTTTGCCATGGGTTCTGTGATCTCATGACCCTGAAGACGTCCCCGAGCCTCTCCACAGCCTGTGCAGACTTCAGCCACACCCTGGTGCGCTCTCCCAGCCTGTGGGGACACTCAGGTTGACATCTGAGCGTGTGTCCTGTGAGCTGCCCCCCTCCTGTCCTCCCTCCTCAGCTGCCACAGTTGCCATTCTCCTGGTCCACATCACCATTCCCTTCCCCCGTGCCCTTTCCTGACTGTGCAGCCATGTCCACAGGCTCGGAGGCAGAGCCACAGCTCAGCCTGTTCCCATGTTGGCCCTCTGTCCCCAGCTAGGGCCCCTTGAGAACAGGATTGCTTTTCACTTCTGTCCCATGGCACCTGACTTGCACTTTGCCCTGGACATCCACCCCAGGTGGTGATCTGGGCAAAGCAGTGCGGAGATGGACCACGTTCCACATTGAACCAGCCTCCAGTGACGGTGCTGACTTACAGTGCCGCGTCAGGGCCGGCCCACCGCTCCTGCCAGGAGGGGCGGCTTACTGCAGTCTCTACCAGTCAGGACTCTCTATGGCAGAGACGGGGCTGGCTGCGGATGGTTCCCTCTGGCCAGTAAAGTAGAAGGAGGAAGGTGTCACCAAGGTCTTCCAGGTGGCTCTCCCCACTGGTCCCCAGTCCCTATGGGCAGCACTTGCACACCTCCTTCCCTCTCAGACAGGAAAGTGGAGATTTGTCTGCCCCCATCTCCCCCAAAACCCTAGCCTGTCTGCTCCTGGTGTCCATCCGTGTGTCTGCTGCCACTAGAGAGAGGGCCCTCCAGGGACAGGGCTGGACATGCAGACTATAGATCAATGGACAGACCAGCTGTGAAATGGTAGATGTGTCCTAAATAAAAGGAATGACTTGCAATATTGGAGGACTTTGTATCCAGAGAGCTAACCTGACCTTTGTAAAGATGGCATCTCAGGGCTGGAGGTCACTTCTGTCTGCAGACACCTGTGGCGTCACACCTCAGGAATGGGGCTGGGCAGAGCTCTCTCTGCTGGCTCGGGGCTAGCCTGTCTCCCAAGGACCCAGTAAGCTGGTCCCAGCACAGCATGGGAGAGCAGTGGCATCCTGGTGCCCATCTCAGGCTGAAGCTCCGTGTGGCTGTTCACAGGGTTTTGTGGGACTGGTCATCTTGGCCAGCTCCCGTACCCACGTCTGTGTACCTGGGAGTCTTTGGGCTTTTTAGCGCATATGGGTCTATGACAAACTTCACCCTCTCACCACAAACTCCATTTCCGCCCTGGGGTTACGAGAAGTAGCAGTAGAAGCAGAGCCGCCCGGCGCTCCTGACCCATGCTGGTCTCCTGGCTCTGGGCTGTCTGGTGCTCACAGCTTGCCCAGCCCAAAGTGATGCTGTGTGGCGGGGGAGGTAGCCCTGTGGCTGGGAAGCTGAGACTGGGAGGCAGGGCCCACTGACAGTCCAGCCCCTGGGGTTTGAAGAACATTGGTGTGGGACCCCTCCCTGGAGTGATGGACAAGACTTCACCCCTTGGACGACGACTCCTCCCTGAAAACTGAGGAAGTGAGCTCCATTGGGGTCCTGGAGTCTGTTCTTTGAGGTGTGTTCCTGGGAAGAGCATCTAGCAGCTTCCATCCTATTCTCCGAGGCCAGGTGGATTTTGATGGGGAGAAGTAGGTGGGGAAGGATCCTGGCTCTTCTGGGGTGCATGTGGTGGCGGACCCGCAGGCTTGGGGAGCCGGGCTCAGGTTGGGGTTACATTCTTAACCCCGGCTCTCAGAGAGTTGGAGCCTGGAATTAAAAATAACCTTGCTGTCTCTATTGACATTTAGCTTTTTCTCACACTGTGAGTGTGGGCGGCAGACCACAGTGGCATTGGCGGAACAGGTGGAGGGTGTGGGTGTGTCCTGGCAGGTGGTGGGTGGAGACCTACCCCCTGTGCTCGCCGGCATCTCCCAGTTACATTGGCTGTCACGTCTGCAGCTGACGCTTAGCGAAGCACAGATGGTGTCTCTCCTGGTAACGGTCTCTGTCCCTGCGTGTTGCATGTGTTGTGTCTTGCATTTGAAAGCCTTCTGAGGGGTGCACAGGCCCCACTACGTGCATAGGCGTCTGGATCCAGGAGCTGTGCTCTGCGAGGAGCCTCCGCTGCCCTCAACAGCTGCTCTGGCCGCCGCTCTCCCTGTCCTCCAGGAGCTCACTTACATCCGGCCGTGAGCTCCTCGAGGCCAGAGCCCGCGTCTGCCTCCGCTCAGCACCAGCGCGACGCCCCCAGCATGCGCACAGGGCCACGCGGCTCCGGTTCGTGGCAGCTTCCATGGGTTACCCAAGCAGCTTCCCGAGTTGTCAGTGTGCACATTTCTGAAGTTCCTGTTTGAATCCGGTGCTGCAAACAAAATGAAACGGGGAAATTGTCCCATCCGTGCGGTAGCAGAGGCATCGCTGTGTGGGTTAGCTTGGGCGGATGTCATGGTTGGTCCCTACACCTTTTATATCACTGGCTCTGTCTGGAGTCTGCTGGGTGTTGCTGTGAGTTTCTGGTCGCTGCAAAGGCCTGTCCTGGTTGCAGCCTTGGCGCTAGTCCCGCAGGCTGTGTCACCAAGGAACCTGTGGAGGGGGCGTGCGGGGGGTCTCTTGCCTCTAACAGCTGCATGTGTGTCTGCTCATTTCAAAATAAAACATGGCGTTGAAAAATCATAGGAAACACTCCCTTTTTTCTTCATTGTTTCTAGAAAAGGAAAAGGTAGTTTGTTACTGTAAGTTATCTTTCTGAATTTTCATAACTAGGGTCTTGAGTCTGATGAAGGTTCAGTCTTTGAACTGGAACAAAATTTCTAGTGGTACCACAGATGGAGCCGTGGGCTTCCTGTCTACCCCCCGAATGCCTGGGTTCAGAAGCAGAAGGAAGAGGGGCTCCATTGTGGGGAGGCCTGCGAGCTGGAGCCAACTTCCTTTTTTCCTGCTGATTCCTGGACCCCCGACTCCGGAGACCCTTCTGTCCCCTGAACTCTGGGCTCTGGAACAGTTGGTTTCAGGGTTCTGAGACTCAAAGGGTCAGCAGACCCCACTGTGGCACTGGGGGCCCCCCTGTGCTGAAACTGCGCCTGGAGCATTCTGGGCGGTTTATGGACAGACAGCTGTGGTTGAAGATCGCCCAGAGGCGAGAACCAGCACTCCCCAAGCTGCTCTGGCTCTGACGGAGCGGGTGGGTGCTCTTCTCTCTGCACCGTGCGGTGGCCTCGTGTCAGGGAGAGTGGGCGGGACTCAGCCTGGGTCTGTCACTGGCCTGCTGGATGAGCTCCGGCCCTTCCCACCTCCTCCCCAGGCCTTTCCTGCACACCTGTCACTGGGAGATGGGTCAGTGCCCGTCATGGACACCATCTGGGGAATGCTGCCCCCCCCCCCCCCAGGGGAGACAGACCCTCTGGATTCATGCAGCAGGTACCACGTACCTCCCCTGCCATGTGCCGGGTTGGCTTGTGTCCTGGAAGTGGTGGAGGAGTCCTGTCTCCAGCTTCCCCCAATCCCGGCCCCCCCACCCTGGTGCCTCCAGCCAGGCTGCAGACCCCGTGGCAGGAGTGGGGGCTGTCCTCTGCGGGCCCAGGGCACGGGTGCCAGCAGCCCCCTGCCTTCCTGATGCCACACCGAGGTCTGGCTGGAAGGTTGCCTTCACTCTCAGCGTGCTTTCTGGTCCTCGGAGCCTCAGTTGTGTGGCGAGCACTGCTCCTGTCTGGCGGGAGCCAGTGTGGCCTCTGCTCTGGGCCCAGGGTTAGCCTTGCCCCTCCTGCCGTCAGCTGTGGCGAGAGGCCCTGTGAGATAAAATCCTGGAAGCACAAGGCACGTTTTCTATTTTGTAGGGAGCCAGAGCCCCCCCCCCCAGGCTTGGTTGGACCCCAGTGGGGCAGCCTCAGCCTCAGACTCTGCGCCCCCTGTCCCCCGATCCCTCCCTGGCTCTTCATGAGCGACTGGTACTGGGAACTGCTGCCCAGGCCTTGCCTGGAGCCGGCAGACCCAGCTCATCCAGGACCAGGACCAGGCTCTGGGCTCCACTCCTCTGCTGGGGCTGACAGCCGACATGGGCCAGGTGGAGACTTGTATGCATGCCTGGGGCGAGTCCTGGGGTTTTAGATGCCCCGGGTAAAGTCGACAGTTCATAAAAGTTGAACCTAAGAGGATCTGGGGCGCAGTCTTAAGC